GACGGCCGCGTCTGCCGCCGCAGGAGCGGGCTGCGGGAGAGGCGCCGGGACGGCGCTGCCGCTGCCCCGCAGCCGCCCTTTACAGCGCGCGGCTCCCCTTCCTCTGCCGGTACCAGGCACGAACGCGCTCCGCTCCCACGGGCCTCCCCCGGAACAGGCCGGGAGCTGCCAGGGCTGGCCGGGAAGAGCCCTCGAGGCTGAGGCAGGGGTTGGTTAGGCGCCAGCTAAGAGAGAAGCCAACCACCCTCACTCCAACCTACCCATCGCAGCCCTGCTGCCTCGTTGCTAGCAGCGCCTGCTCTCTGCAGCCATGCTCGCTCCGGAGAGGTGCAAGCTGCCGTACCAACGTTTCCACAGACTTCGCCCATACTGGCACTGGAATCACAGGGGAAGCGGATCGTGATAGTAAGATTTTTAGCTGGAGCAGAGATATTTTTTGATAGGCCCGTAGATAACGCTGCGGTTTTGCTCTCTTTTAATTAACAGTAGTGCTCAGTCTTCCCCTTCCTTGGGTAAGGCTATTTGGCAATTTTGTTTCATAGTGCCATATTTTGTGCTCTTTATGCTCCAAATTTCCTCATGGTTTGCAAACAAAGATGCTATTATGTAGTGCGGTCTGCTCTTTAAAAACTTCAAACTCAGGGCATTAAGCATGCTTAATTTTATCTCCAGAGGTTACCATTAGTATTTAGCTCTTGTAGAATTTATTGTAGCAGAACGATGGCTTCCCTGCACTTAAATCACTAGTCACAGTAGGAATAAAAGGCATTGCACCATTTGTCTGTAGAAAACTAGCTCTCATTGACGTGGTAGGTGGTGCAACCACAACATCTGAAAAAGATGCCAAAGAACAGTTTGAGGCAGGTGGGATTCAGCTAGTGCACAAGTTCATATAAAGCCTGACAAGAAATTGTGAGAAATCAGGGTAATCTTGCAGCACACAAGGACAAGTCCATGAGACCACTGAACACTCTTATCACCACGGATTCCCTGTCACCTGATCTGTGGTGGTCAATTTTTTTGCCAGTTTGGCCATTATATTGGTCAAGTATCATTCGTCAGTGTTTATGTAATCCAACAGCAGTGTAAAGGACCTATTTACAACACTAAGGATTATTCACTCACAGCACGATGACATTCATAGGGCAGAAGGGGGTTTGTACTGGTCTAAATGAAAGCGGGACTGGGTTCCTCACCTATCCTCACAAATGTTCTTCCTCAGAACCACATCCCAAACAGCACGTCAACAGTCACAGCAAAACTTTTCCTTTTACTGCTTTCTAAGACAGGGCCCTGTATAAGCACGTTGTTCCCAAACTGACCCTAAGACACATGCCTAATTCTGCCAGACTAGGTAAAAGCCAGCAAGAAACTCGTCAAGCACTGGCGTTGTTGCTCTCAGCTATTTGATCCAGTTCACCTCTTCCTTCACCCATGTCAAAATGCTCATGCAGATAAACTAAACACAGATGGGAGAGCCAGTCTGATGTCATAGACATCTTTGAGTAATGGAATCATCCCAAAATACACCTATTTGCCCCAAACAACACGTGTTCTTTCGCTGCCACGCCAGACACTGTTGCAGGCTTCTATCGAAGATGCTGCAGGTTCCTCATTTGACATACATTCTATCCCCAGTCATTCTGGCAGATTTGAAGCAATTTTGGTACTGGGATGTCCCTCACCTGTTTGTCATGAGCTTTTCCTTTCAGCTCCCCAGATATGGGACTTCCAGAGCCTACATCAACCCAGCTTTGCCACACGCCACTTCTCAGTGCTGATGCCAGATGGGTTGCCACAGCAGGATGCTGTGTCTCCTCCTGCCAGAGGGTCTCATCCACAACACAGCAGCCACTGCTCCATTTGCTGTCTAGTGAGAGAACAAACTGGTTTTAGAAGCCACATTCTTAATGAATCCATTAAAACCAGTGCTGTGGCTCTGGAAGAAAACAATCATGTTCTCATTCAAAACCATGGGCTGACGGCATCCCTTTTATTTACATGCCTCCAATGCCACAGCCACTGGAAAGATCCTTCATGCTTCTGAGCAGCAAAGGCAAAAAAAATTAAGATCTGCAACCCTAAGGATGAAAGGCAGGAACAGGGGAAGATCCAGCCAGGTATCACAGCTGGTAAGAGAACATGAGCAGGCAGGTCTGCTGCCTGCCAAAGGGATCAGACAGGTGGAGCAAGAGACAGCTGTTGCTGGGGGGAGCCATTACCATCAGTAGCAGTTGTAGTAGCACCAAATACTGCCCACCCAGCTTCCAGTGCTCAGGGACAGCTAAATGGGCTGTGAGACTATGGCTGTCAGACCACCCACAATTGTTTGCTGCCTTCTTTGCTCAAGCCCCAGTCAGCCATCCCTTCAGTGACCACAAGTGAGAACACAGCACAACAGCCTGTGCTCCTGCCAGCCTCGGTCCCACCCACCATCCACGTGCTAGAGAGCTCTGCAAACACTGAGCAGATGAACAGGGCATTTAAGGGCCCCATTCCTTGTCATCGAGGACAACTTTTTGTTCCACCCGGGCATGGAGAGTGAGTTATATCATTAATGCCGGCAGGCAGTCGTGGCCATCGTATACAATCATTTGTTCCCTGTTAACATGTTTGAGACATTGAATTCATGTTTATTCCATGTTCAGTTAAATAAAATTGTCTGCTCAGGACTTACCAGGATTAACTCTTACACCATTTAGCACAGTTTGTCCACTTGGGATGGTGGGACAAGGCACTCTACTCCTTCCCAGGGTAACAACAATGGAGAGAACGAAAGCAATTCCTGCTGTGCATTCATCTATCAGCATCCTTTAGGCTTTAGACAAAACAGAAACCACAAATCTCTCCTCTGTGAGCTTACACATAAATTGTTGTTGAAATGTAAAGATACTCATTTACTTTGTACTAATTTAACCCAACAGCGTTCAAAAGAGCGAGTTTTGGTGATGAATACCTACTGCTATGAATCTGCGCTGTTCCCTCCTACCTTCTCTGGGTGCAAGATGTGCATTCATTGAACTCTTTTGTTAAGTCTTTCCACGAAGCAGCTTCTGACAGCGTATTCATCTCTCTGCTCATTTACAGCTTCGTGTTAGGCTCTCTGTTTCATTTGCCAGCAGACCTCATTATTTGCCTTGCTCAGATCAGGACCATTCCTCCGTTTCTTGGAAACCTCTCTTACTATCCTTATAATCCTTTTCTCCGAGCTAAACATTAGCTCGAGTTGAGTGAAATTCTGTGCAAGCCACCAACAGAGAGTATGTTGTTCTCTCTTGAAGAATGGTGTTTCAGTTGTGTGATGTTAGGTGTTCCTTTTTCTTTTTTCGTCTTAAAATTCATTTTGAAACATCTTTCAGTTAGGTTCAGCAGCTCCACAATGTCATTCAATGATCCACCTGGAACTAGCAGCTTCTTTTCCAAGCATGACTTGATTCTTCTTGGGGGAAATACAAAGTCTGTACCAAACAGACATGCTGTGAAAGTTGTTCTGTGCTTAGGGGCTGCCACTTCAGAACACCCGAAGGCCACATGAATCCTGGAGCAAAGATTAATCTACGCTCAATGACCCAAAGAGGGAGAGGCCTGATGAGTTACCAAGTTTTTATGTCTGCAGAGGGTCCTGCGCATGCCCTCTGCAAGCTATCCTCCACTTCATACAGAACAGCAGACAGCCTGCTCTTATACAAGCAAAGAAGTCAAGGCAAAACCATGCCGATAGAGATCACACATGACCCTTCTTCCTTTAAAAGGGCCATGAACGCGCACATTCTGCACTGCTGTGTCTCTGTGGGAGACCGTGGGCACAGCTGCAGAGAGCTCCTCAGAACAAACCATACAGGCTTGCGATAGCGGTACAGCTTGGTTGCTCTCGACACAAAAGGGTTGCCTTGCCAATATTGTAAGAAAACCTCAGAAACTTCAGCCCCTTCTGAAGACACAAGGCGGGGGGAAAGGCTCTCAAATAAAGTGACCTTTTTTTTTATTTTCTAATTTAGCAGAATTCACTTCATTTAAAAGGGGGAAAAGCTGCATAGTTTGGAGGACTTCAATTTGTCCCCTCCTGAGCTCCACGACAAAGGAGATGGGGTGGCAGGGCAGTTAAGTGAGGAAAATCCAGAGCAGTGTAGGTTACAGAAGAATAATTGCCAAGCCTATCTCAAGTCAGTTTGCACAATTTCCAAATCAGTGATGCTGTCACATATTGGACAACTTTCCTTTCCGTAGCATGGAAAAGACTAAAGTTTCCCTGTGCCCAGAATGAAACACTGCATATTTCTTGCTCCTTAGGAGGAATAAGTGGTCTAGCTTAATATGTCATTTTTGACCATCCCAACCTGGCAATAATACAGAAAGAACTAAATATCCTTCTTTTCCTACTCCACATTGAAGTGACAAGTTAATTATTGTTCATATGCTAAAGTCTTTCAAAAGGAAAAACAAAAAAGCCTTTGTCTTGTTTGGGAGAATGAGATTCAAGGTTGCAGGGGCTGGGGCGGGCAGTGGTGGGGTTGGGGTACCACTCCGTATTAGTTAATTATTAAGTGGAAAGGTTAGATTAAAGAAAGCACACAGAATTTATGAAAAAGTTGAGATCTCTTACCCATTTGTTGCCTATGTTTAGCTCTCACTGAAAGAGTATTTGACTGAGTCAGCTCTGCTGCACTAGGCCTTAGTACCATAGCTGATTTGGCAAACTCATTGCCAGTGATACTATACAGCATGTACTCTTTTCAACACTTGGTGCTTTCATAGTTTTTTTAGAGAGAGAGAGAGATGTATACAGACACGGTGACTTTCTAAGGTTCTTTCAAGCTGTATAGGATTTAATGCCATGGATTCAAGACATTTGTCTGACATAAATTAAACTGCCCAAGAAATTTTGGGTGAGTTTTCAGAAGGGATTAAGGGAGAAACAACCACTCAGCTTATGTGGCTTTGTACAACAGTTTGTTTGGTTACTGCCTCTGAAACCACCATGTCCCAGTCTGTTGCATCTTCCTATTCCACTTAGGCAGTCTCTGTATTTCAGCAAAAGCACACTTTCAAAAAGCTACAGTCAGGAACTCTTCCAGCAGAGAAGTGAGATACAAAGATCTCAGCTCATGTCCAGAGAACAAGGTGTGAGCATCTGCATTGCCTCCTCTTGTACACAGGCATGACTCTAGATATTTTCATATGCACAAAACCAGCCCGCTGATTTTTCACAGTACTTTTGTAGCAAAAAAAAAAAAAAAAAAAAAAAAAAAAAAAAAAAAAAAAAGGGGGG